TAGCTCCTCTCTGGGACTTTAGCTACTTAGTTAGCTTCTTTCCATGACTTTTGCTGTGTGATTAGCGGTCTTTCTATGACTGTATCTGTATGGGTAGCTTTTTATAGGCCTATAGCTGTTTAATTAGCTATTTTCCTAAACTTTGCCTATGTAGTTAGCTCTTTTCTGTAACTTTAGTGGTGCAGTTAGCTGTTTCGCTATGACTTTAGCTGTGTAGTTAGCTGTTTTTCTATGACCTTAGCTGTTATGTTGTCTTCTTTCTATGATTTTAGCTCTGTAGTTATCGTCTTTCTGTGACTTTAGCTCTACGCAGTTAAACGCATTCCATGCCAGGATGTTTTATACAGTAAGGGAGAACATGAACACAATGACCCCACAATGCGCCACATTTTTTAGATGCCAAAATGGCTGTTGCGTGACAGCTGACAGACGTCCATTATTATTATCCGGGCAACAAACAAGGGCTGATCTCAAACGCATTATATAAAGGGCAAAAAATCAGAAAAGACTAAATTACAGCCTTTTTTTCACATTTTGATCTGTCTTTATGTATTTAAAGGTCCTAATTATGAGTTTCTGTGCTTCCACAAGCAGCCGAAGAGGAAGTAAAGGACATGCTAAGAGAATAAAAATACAAAAGGCAGAGTTGGAGAGCACAATAAGTAAACACAGATCTTTTCCTCTGATGAAGACAGAAGCTGAAATAGACTCTGCAGACTCTCCCAGACTGCTGCATGCAGCCGCCAACACCACACATCAATAATTAATCCAGAGCGCGTGGCGGCTCAGCGTGTTCGACTTATTCATCTGCGCTCTGCACAAGTAAACAAGATGGGAAAGTCTCCATCCATGTTTAAATCACTGCTTCAACACAACCGCTCATTATTCCCTCAGTCTGTTCCCACAGGAACTTCAAAAGGCTGCAGGATTACAGAGCCTGCAGCTCGCTCGCATACTGTATATACAGCGCTGCTAAATTTGAGCCCGAATCTGCTCTTTGAAGCTGTGAGAGCCGACAGATAAGACTTTAACGTTACATAACCCGAACTTTAAACACAGCTGCTGCTGGAGTTACAGCTTATAAAGTCAGGTGAACCTCCATGTATCAGCTGCACTAGATGAAAAAAAAGAACTTATCAAACTGCAAAAAGTTTAAAGATGAAAGTCAGAATAACACTTTGCAGGGCCTTCATCTTAAAGCTAACGTCCCCTTGATAATGAGCTGAAATTTATCAGTAAATGTTACGTTGAGTCAGGGCTTTTTTTGACTAAGTGAATAAAACAAAACTGACATAAAATGAAGTAAAGATATTGTGTTGACCTCGCAGCAGCTGCTTGATGTCCTTGCTGGCGTGGGATGTGGTGAACTGGTTCACGATGTCCAGCGCTGTCTGGTTGTAGGTGTTTCGGATGTTCACATCCACTCCGGCCTTAACGACGAGAACACAACAATGACGATCTGTCTTCAGACTCCAGTTTGGTTCTGTCTCAGTTCTTACATACATAGCAATCAAACATTTATTATAAACAGACACTAATGCAAACAGTACAGTGATGATGGGGGCCACTACGTTAGTCTAAACAATATAACATTAGCATCTATTTTAAACTGAAAAAAAGATGATTTTAGGCACTAATTTTGCCTAACAAGACCATGTCTGCAACTGGATTAGCCTAAACCACATAATGTTAGCTTAGCCTTAGTCTAAACATGATAACATTAGCCTTTAGGTTGCAATATAAAAAGATGTTGCTAGCTTTAACATTATCCTAAACAACTTATTATTAGCTTCTGCAGCAGTCTAAATAAGATAACCCCTGTGTTAGATTAAAAAACATTAAGTTATCTACAAAGTTTCTGTAAGAAAAGATCACGCTAGCCACTGCTAGCCTCAAAAAAGACCACATTAGCAAATACGTTTGCCCAGCAGTGGCATTAGCCCAAGCTAGATATTGTTAGCTGCTTTGTTTGCCTAAACAAAAGTAAAGGCAGTTGCTGTGCTTGCATTAGCAGGATAATGTTAGCATCTACATTTGATGCAGTTGCCACAATTCTGTGTGATTTTCAAAAGCAAAAAACAAAACTAGATAATGTTGACACTGTGACTGTGTGTATTGTGTGTTTCCTGGCCCTCAATACCAAGTATGATAAAAAAAAATTAATTATATAATATCAATCAAACAAATGTATTTCAACATAACATGGTATGGTAATACATAACATGATAATGACATGTCTTGCTATATTAGCCTAAACGACATAATGCTTGCATTTATATTTGGGAATGTCAGCTACTACGCTACGCTAAACAAGATCAGGTTAGCCACTACGTTTGCTAACACAAATACAAAAAAACAAGTAGTGCAACATTTTGAAATTCCTGCGTCAATTTAATATCGAAGTGAAGGAGCCGAGGTGTTTGACTGTATTGAAGATCATATTTTTGCGGTTCATAACGCTGCAGTACGTCTCCGGCTTTGATGAAGACATCGAACCTCCACACTGCTCGCCATATTCTGAACCGAACTCACGTCCAGCAGCAGTCGGACCACTTCTGTTTTTCCGTACAGCGAAGCTTCATGAAGCGCTGTTCCAGACTTGGTGGTTTTGTTGATGTCGATGCCGGCCGTCAGCAGCAGCCTGAGACGAGCAGAGAAACATATGATCAACATCTGAAACTGAACAGAAACACATGATCTGAATTTTGGTCTTTTCTCAGGTCAGTAAATCGAAAATATCCACTTTCTTTGTCACTGTGTGTCTGAATATCAGAACCTTAATAGGCTGAAATTTGAGATTTTGTTAATTTTAAGGTGAAATTTAGTTGTTTTTTTTCAGGTAATGATAAAATGTGGCTCGTTCAGAATATTTTGCGTTGCTTCTTGTTGGGGAGTTTTTGCAGTAAATGACTGTAAAACACTTAGCTGTAGTCTCATACAGAAACACTCACTGGGAATGTAAGGCATGAGGATAATGCTGCACACTGAACCAGCCCCACAGTTCATGCTCGGTTACAGACCACAAACCACAGCAGCCCTGCCCTCTGATTTCTACATCTGCAGCCTCTGACCGTCACCACATGAAGTTTCTGCAGAGTTCACCAATATTTTAAACAACACAGGCAGACATTACTCCCTGCTTCATGATCAAATGACCCAAATATGTTAAGAAAAAACCAATAAGGATGAAACCTACTGATATGAGGGCGGCTGTTGTTTGTAGGTACACACATATATATATATATATATATATGAACACACCTACTACTATCACCTTGTTTAGAATGACATTTTTGGTGATGCTGTTTCATTAATATATTATTTTATTGTTAACTTAGCCTCTAAATTTAGGCTGACTTAGTAGCGGACACCTTGTTTTAGGCTAATGCAGCGTCTTTGTCTTTGTCTAAGCAGCTAACATTGCCTTGTTTGGGCTATTGTAGCTACCAACATTATGCTCAGTAGGCTAATGTAGCAGCTAGCATTATGTCCTTGAGGCAAATGTAGCCACTAACATTATGCTGTTTAGGCAAATGTAGCAGCTAGCATTATGTTGTTTAGGCAAATGTAGCAGCTAACGTCATGCGGTTTAGGCAAATGTAGCCGCAAACATTATGTCGTTTAGGCTAATGTAGCAGGTAACATTATGCTGTTTAGGCTAATGTAGCAGCTAACATTATGTTGTTTAGGAAAATGTAGCGGCTTACATTACGCTGTTTAGGCAAATGTAGCGGCTTACATTACGCTGTTTAGGCAAATGTAGCCGCTAACATTATGCTGTTTAGGCTGATGTAGCAGCTAACATTATGTTGTTTATGTAAACATAGTGGCTAACAATCTTTTTTTTAAAGCTAACCTAGCATCTAAGATAACTTTTGTTTAGGCTACCATAGCAGCTAACATGATCTCAGTTAGACTAATGTAGCGGCTACCATAATCTTTTTTAGGCAAACGTAGCGGCTAACACAGGAAGCAACCATATCTTTTTTAGATTAATGTAGTGGCTGACATTATATTATCTATAGCAATGGGTTGGCTAACATTATGATTACATAATGTGCAAACTTGGCAGCAAACATTACCTAGTTAAGACTAATGAAGCAGCTTTTTTTTTTTTTATGAAGGCAAACTTGGCGGCAAATGTTGTCTTATTTAGATTAATCTAGCCGCTAACACTGCTATTTATACCAATTTAGAGGCTAACATGATCTTTTTAGGCAAAGAGAATTATTGTTTAAAGATTTTGGAGGTTCTGACGAGGGACTTTATCTGATTTTACTCACGCTCAGCGTGTTGTTTTGAGCTTGTACATGTGTTTTCAGCACAGGTTAACATGAACTGTGAGCTGCTGCAGGAAGTTAAATGTCATGTTTTCTCACCGTATGATGTCTTTATGTCCGTTGCGGGCAGCGAGGTGAAGAGGGGTGGTGAAGGCTGAGTCTGTGGGCTCCTTCCTCTCTCCCTCCAACAAAGCCACCACCATGTTACTGCTCAGCAGTAGCTGGGCCACCTGAAGATCACAGAAAACAGGCTGACACATTAATAACTGAGGGGGTATCATAGAACTACAGGAGAATGATTTGTGTTTCTACTGCAGAACCAAAACCCAGAGAAGATTCAACAAATCAGTCAAATCAAAAGTAAATCAGTGCATCCATCTTTTCTAATAGCTATGATTTCTGGATTCCCTTCATTTATTAAGGCTATATAGGTATTTGAAGAAAATATCTCATAATTATGACAAACCACATGGTGGTAATCAGTCATCACCACTTGGGAGGACAGAGGCACTATGGCGCTACATAATTGAACCTCTGGTGTGAAAGGTATGTTTTCCTCTTTATAAAATTAGTTAAGTGACACCATTTATTAGTGACATCCTGCAAAAACAGAAAGAATCATCAGATATTTAACTTTCTGAGGGTCCGTAAAGGCATCCTGTTTGATGTGTGGTTCCACATTCAAACATGTCAATAAAAATAAACTGTTTGCAGGAGATTTTGTGAAAAACTAAAAGTTCTGAGCACAACTGAGAAACCAACTATAAAATAAATGCAGCACGGCTCAAAATCAGCATACAGAGGAGCAAGTTGTTGGAAGATACGTTCAGCATGGTGAAACATCTTTCTACTGCTGATGTGTGGAGCAGAGAGAAAAAGTTTGTTGATTCAAACTGTGTCCAAAATGACTCAAAAATTGCACAAAATGATTCAAAAGTTGTCTAAAACTACTCAAACGTTGGAAAAAATGATTTACAATTTGTATATCACACTAAAGACATTTCTAGGTTCTCTCTCCTTCTTTGTGGTGGTCTTTCCCGTAGAGGTGCAGTACTTTATACTGCAGAATGAGCCCACGATGAAGAAAAATGAGAGAGGAGAAAAGAAATGGCCAGAAACTGCTTGGAGTTCAGAAGTTTAAAAATGCCTCTCACAGCTTTTGCAGAGCTGAAACTGACGTCTTCAAATTGCTTTGTAAATTCTCTCTCATGCAATTTGGAAAAAAAACCTAACCTCAGGAAAATACATGAACTAAAAGAGGAGACCAGATAGTCGGCATGTTCAGTCAAGAAAAGAAAAAACACAACTTTGTGCGTTTTCCTTTTATTTCTGTACTTTTAGTAAATATAAATGTCTACAATGCTAATAAATTCAACTCCAAATAGCAAAACTGATTAAAAATCATTGTGGTGCTTGCTAAAACCACCAACAATCTATTCAGGCAGTGGTGAAAACGCAGAGTTCCTCTAAAGGTTCATGTTCCCTGAGGAATATTCCCAAAGAGAACAAAATGGAGTCAAAGCTAAAGTTCTTCCAGCAGACAGCTGCTGCAGGTGATATGAGATAATACCTCAGTGACCCCAAACTCTAAATGAATCCAGATGTTTGGCTCATTTGTAGGAAACCACCCTCAACTCTGAAACATGACGTCTGTGTTTGAATGAACAGAATGTGATTTATTTCACAGTAAACAGCTCAGAGTGTGTGAAGTTTAACGGCTGCACAACAGTCCGACACTGTTCATGTTTACAGTGTTCAAAATAAAGATGAAAATGTTCATTTTATTCGCTGAATTGAAAACATAGGGTGGTGTTGGCCAACATGTTTTAAACCAATGAGAGTTAACGGACGCGCTGCACATGATGTAAGACAGAAAAGCAAAACTGAAAACACGATGAAAACTTACGAAGTGTGTCAGAAAGGTTCCAGGACTGGTGTCACAAAACATAGATTTCAAACCCAAACTACAAACTAGGAGTTTTCCCCTTCAGACGATCAACCAGCAAGTCTACAAAGAGATCCTGTTTGCTTTGTTCAGAAGAGGTGAGAGCTGTGTCAGGACGAGTCGTGGCTGCTTCACCATGACAACACGTCTGCTCATAATACCCTGAGCATCTGAAAGTTCCTGGCTGAGAAGAACATCTCCGTGCTGGAGCAACCTCCCTACTCACCCCACCTGGCTCTGTGGGGTTTTTTCCTCTTCTCCAAGCTCAAGGGGGTCATCAAGAGGACCCGTTTAGAAGACGTGGACGACATCAAGATGGCTGTGATGATGGAGCTGTGGAGGATCCTGAAGAATCCTTCCAGGAGTACATGGCAGCGTGAAGAGAAGGCTGAGGAAGGGTGTTAGACTCCAGGAGGATTACTTGGAAGGAGAAAACTAGTAGTTTGGGTTTGAAATCTATCTGTTGTGACACCAGTCCTGAAACTTTTCTGACACACCTCGTACACGTTGAGTTTGTACAACAAAATAAAATACTGAAAAAATGAACCTGTACGATCAGTTTCTAAGATCAAATGAAGACTAAAATTTTGACACCACTTAAAGGAACTGAAAGCCACTGAAAACATTCACATCTTGAGGATCTGAACAGTGATCACAAGACGAAGAAGACAAGAAAACCAAAGGAGGAAACAAATGAAAATAACTTAATGCGCTCACCTTGACCCGTCCAAACTCGCAGGCCAGATCCAGAGGAGTCTTCTTGGCTTTGTTGACCAAACAGGGGTTGGACTGATGCTGCAGCAACATCTCAGACTGAAACACACAAACAGTGGCGCAGCATTTAACCAGAGGATACACAGATAAGTGGAGGGTAGTCCCACTAAGCCGGCTGGTTCTGCAGTGTAGAATGCACCTCAGCCATCTCATGTGAAGTTTGAAATATTTAGTTTCAATACGTCGTATGTTTAAACATAATTTATTGACTAAAAACTTCTTTCATATGCTTTAGAAGATGCTGTCATTATTTATCTACTATAAACAACCTCTAGGTCTAGTAATTATTTCCAAAGCTGTAGATAATTATTTGGTTTCAACTCCTTTACAAATTGATGAAATATTTGGTTCAACATTAGGCTTAGTTCAGCCTAAACAAAGTCAGGATCATTTTTTAAACTTGACGATATCATAATTAATTCAAAGAAGACACATTTCTGTGGTGCGACGTATCAGACCGCATGTTTATTTGTGCTTTTCATAGACTTCAATAAACATAAAACAGAGCTTCAGATTCTCAGTGGGGGGTTTCCGTCGTGGTTCACCTACATTCATCTTAATCCGGCCTAAAAAACACCCGACAACAGAAGGAGTCAAATCTGACGGCAGGATTAAAAACAAAACCTCGGCAGCTTCATCTGTCAGAACGTCCACAGCTGCAGAAACAGGGTCACTAATAATCACCCCAAATCTACAACAAACACGCCACTGATCTCCCGACAGGAGTTTTCTGGAGCTGAACAGATTTTGGTGTTCCTCAAAGAGGCTTTAGCCAGATACTTTAAAAATGATTTGCTAACTGGAGTTTCATTTATTGGAGCATAATAGGCTGCTCACAAATACCAGAAGATTTCAAAGACAGGACAGTAAACGGGACTCACCACCTCGAAGTGTCCGTACTGAGCAGCTAGATGCAGCGGGATGTGGCCGTCCAGGGAGACTCCGTTCACCGAAGCTCCGGACCGAAGCAGCATCAGCACCGATTCAGCTTTTCCCTGCCAGGCGGCGTAATGCAGCGGACGCATTCCTGCGGCAAACACACCGGCTCTGTCAGGACTTACTGCAAAAGCAACACTGAGTTTGATGCAGATGAGCTCCAAAGACAATAAATACTCTGATAAATGTAGAACATATTTTATGAGTCGAACTATCATCAGAGCTCAGTGTGACTCTGCAGGTTCCTCATGAAGGTAATGAGAACGGCTTTCTAGAAGGATATCTGGTCTCACTGTTTAATCAATAAAGTAAATTAAAATCTCTGTACAAACGACCACCGTTGTACAAAACACCTCAGAGAATTCAAAAGGCAAACTACAGCACTGTCGAACACCAGGAAGAATATGTTTCTGTGGACTGTAAACCACATATCAGCTGCAAAGAGAATGCAAAGAAAACGTTCTTTATCTCGGAACACAAACCAACAACGGACTAGACTGACTTTTGAGTCTAAACTGACTGACTCAAATTGTCCAAAACACCCAAAATGTGTCCAGAGTTACTTAAAGACAGTCCAGAATTGACTCGAAATTGTTCTAACTGATGTCTTTTTTTTCTAAATGGCCCAAAAGGACTCAAATATTGTCCAAAACGATTTTTAAAAAGTGTCCAAAATGACTCAAAATCTGTTCAAAATGATTTATGCTACATTCAAAATGATAATAATAAAAAAGAAGTTGTCTAAAATGGCAAAAGATTTGTTAAAATTAACTCAAAATGTGTCTGAAGTGACTCAAACATGAACTGATCTGTGACACTTCCAAAGCTCTCGGTTTTTACACGTATATTTTTACACAATATCTGTGCAGTTTTTGGGTATGAAAAGGCCAAAAAAAAATAATTCATTTGTAAAATAAACTGTAATGCAAAACACAAAACCTGCCGGGGTCACAAGACTTGGAAGAAAATCCCATTTACTGCTTTTACCTTCAGCAGAACCATGTAAATGATGTTGGAGCATGTTCACATAAGAACCAAACTAGTTCCAAACGGACAGTTCAGCAGCGTAAAAGCAGATCTAACAGCGTTCAGGGCTAAATGTTGGACTAACCGTTGCTGTCCTTGATGTCCACGGTGGCCTGAGCCTCCAGCAGCGCCGACAGCAGCTCTGTGGTTCCCGTGAGGGCGGCGTGATGCAGCGCCGAGAACCTGCAGCCGTCCAAAAACACAGAGAAATGACAACCAATTAATCTTTATTTCACTGAAGAACAAAGTCTGCATGATGACAGGTTCACGCATTTTATCTACACACTGGAGAGTCGAACACAAAGCTTCACAAGATCTTATTCTGGATTTATTTCCAATATTCACTCGCAGCATTTGTTTCATCAACAGAAAAATATGAAAACCTGCTTTTCAAACCAAAAACCAACTTCAGAGAAGAGCGAGCTGCAGCGCTAACGTGTCCAGAACGACTCAAAATGACTCAAAATGACTCAAAATGTGTCCAGAATGACTCAATCTTTATTCAAACTGATTTAAACTCTGTCCACAATAATACAAATGTCTCTACAATGACTCAAACAAAATGTTAAACTGTGTATGTTTCACAGAAGACATTTCTGAGTTCTCTCTCCGTCTTCATGGTTGTTCTGTTTCCACTGAGCTGCAGGACTTTATGTTGCAGTGAAAATGAGCCTCAGTGAGTTAAAATGAGTTCAGAGTTAATGACTGATGGCTGACGAAGTGATGCTAAAGAAACTAAACATCATAAAGAGGCTGCAGATTATTTCCAACATGATAGAAAATAGTTTGCAGAAATGAAACTGAATTGAACAAACTGTTGAGTTTAATGTCAGCTTCCAAACACAAAGCGTCACTCTACCAGCTCCACACGTGTTCTTTATTCCTCGACTGAAAGCTTCGGATCTGTTTACTGCATCAGAGGCTCTGAACCGCCACATCACAGCAAAAAAAAGATTTAATCAGAAAGGAAACCAGACGTCTGCTGTTCAATAAAACGCTGCTTTAACAGAGTGTCTCCTCAGACTGTGAAAGTCGGAGTGAAGAAGGAGTGTCTGGAATCAGAACTGAATCAGCTTCAGTTTGTCTGGACTCGCTGCTGTTTGAACAAAGCCGAGGGAGGATTCAGGTAATTGTGTCACTGTGAGTCACAACTGAAGACCTGCAGCTACAGGTAACCAGGAAACACCTGGAAACACCTGGAAGCAGCAGCAGCCACACCCTCCTCTCTGAGGCTGCATCCGCACAGTTTGATTTCAGGAATAATCTGATCACATGAGCGCTCACTGAGCATGTGCGTGTAAACAGGAAGCAGCAAGTTGGACAAGTTTTTGCAGAAAATACCGCAGAAGTCAGAGATTTCTACTGTGGACAATATTTACATTTAGGTAATAAATAAGTAATAAATAAGTAATTCTTTTTTTTTTTTTTACAGTCAATATTTAAATTAATACTTTTTTCAGTGATTTTACTGGATATAATCTGTAATTTAACTAAACCTGGAAAACAACGTTTTTGGGTGAATCTGTAAAGTATATAATTTTTTTCAAATACAGTCGTGACTCGATAATCGGACACTGAATGTAAAACCTTCTTTTATGTCGGATAGCAAAGCTGTCGGATTGTCAAGACGGAGGTCGAGATACGAGGAGGGCTTGATGCTGGAAGGCTCATTTGTTGTTCATATTCATTGTTCATAGTTGATATAATAACTAGTAGAGCTGGTCTGAATAGTACTTTCTGGTCTCTGGATATTCAGGCTCAGTTAATAATGAATATCAGAATATTCGACGCGGTCGGGGGACACTTCCACCGGGGGAGCGCTCCGACGTGGTGAGTGGCCGGAACACACAGGCAGTACTTGGCTGCTGATGCTAGTTTAGCTAGCCGTCACACTTCTGTTTCCATCATCCATGTTTACTTCCGTAAACACTGAGCACGCTCGCTGCGTGTGACGTCGTCGTGTCCTCTTCTGCACATGCGGGACACTTTTGGGTCGTATGAAGTTCACACAGCAGATCACATACAAGTCATATTTAACTGGAAAAGTGAACGAATTCGTGAAAAACCGGATTTCACAAAAAAAATCCTAATTCAGCCTTAAGTCCTGCAGTCTGAACGTAGCCAATCTGTGGATTGTTCAGTCAAATAATACGCTGTTATCCTCATTGGTGACATAAAATGTCATGTTGGAGTCAGAATCCAAGGCTGTCGGTATGTTAAGGCTGTTTTTTTTGGGTTCCGTTCATTTTTCCTAAAAACCTGTCAGAAGGTTTTGGATTGTTAAGGGTCAGATTATCGAGTCATGACTGTAACAGCAAACATCTGTAAATTATTTCTATTTTTATCTGTTTTAAGTAGTCAAACAGTGTAATTTTTGCAGAAAATGATGTAAAAGAACAAACATTTGTAAAAATACAGATTTTTGATGGGGACATTAATATTTTTTACAGTCAAAGTGTAAATGTTTTTTTTTTTTTAACTACATATGATCTGAAATTAAGCAAAACAGGCACAATTTGTAAAATAACATTAAATTGTTCAATAAATGATTCAAAACTGAATACAAGTTTCTGATAAAACCTTTGACACTTGAAGACCTTTTGGAGACCGAATGATGAATGATCTGAAACGTAGCTGCAGTAAATCCACTGTTGTTCTTTGTCCTTTACACATGAACACGTGAGCCGGGTGAATCAGTGAGGAGGAAACGCAGCTACAGGCCACATGTGATCCTTAAATACATTACGGGAGCTGAACAAAGACTCAGGAGGTTTTAGTGCTGCTCTGTTGCATAACGTGAGCGATGGCATTCATGTGGCCGCCGGCAACTACAACAGTAATGGACGGATCGGAGAGGAGGTCAGCAGGGAGGAGGAGGAGGAGGAGGATGTTTGGAGTGAACAGAAGCTGCCGTATTCTTATCAATAAAAACTGAGATATCTGGTTTAACGGCGCAGAAGTCTCCTGAGGAACTTTGTGGAAGAGGAGAAATATTTTGGACGTTGCATTAGGAACCTTAAATAAAAAGTCAGGAAGCGCCGTCAGATCGGAGCTCTGTGATTGGCCGAGCCTCTGCAGGAATGCGAAGTGTAGTTCTGTCTGTCTACTTACAGAGTTTGTCAATTTTTGGCCCAAATTATTAAAATTTAAGGAAAAACATTGCATTCAAATGGCTAAAAAAGGTGGCAAAGTCAATTAAGACTCTCATTTCCCCTCTTTTTTCTCCCCTTTTCCTCTTTTTTTTCCTTCTTTTTCCTTCTTCCCCCCAACAGTCTGTAGTTCACCAGCTTGGGAATCATCAGTCAGTCAGTCTGTCTGTCTGTTGTATCTGAATTCAGCACAGCACATCCCAGTCAGGGAGGCAGAGGAGCGTTTCAGCGATTAAAGGAGAAGCTGGTCCAAAATCATTCAAAATTTCAATAAAAATCTGTAAAAATCTGCCAGAAAGCAATAAAAAAGTGTCCAAAATGAGTGAAAATCTGCACAAAATCAGTGAAAATCTGCCCGAAATGAATGAAAAAGTGTTCAAAATAGGTCAAAACATCATCAATTAGGATAACTTTTCACTCATTCTGGATAATTTTCAAATCATTTTGGACTATTTCTTGTAATCATGCAAGTTTCAAATCATTTTGTGCAATTTGAAACATCTCAAGACGCAGTACGATAAAAACAAATGGAGCCATGAAGTGTAAACCTTTTTACTTTTCACTGCAAAACGCCACAGCTTCAGATTTCACGTTCACAGCGTCGGTTTTACGAGATAAATTAGGTTTATTTTGTTGTCAGTGTTTCTCTGAACATCTACAGTCAGAGGTTGGTTCTTCTGGAGGCTTGTTTGTCCTTCCTACTGTTTTTAGACTTGAGTTAAAAACACACAGTGGAAGCAGCCAGCTGCCTAAAAACACACCATGTGATCAGGAGGTCGGCTGGTTTCATTCTTGCTCAGATCTCCATAGAAACATAACCAAACACAAACCAGCTGGAGACATCAGAAAAGAACAGAGAAAGTGTCCAAAATGAGTGAAAGTGTCCAAAAGGAATGATAAAGTCTCTACAATCACTCAAAACGTGACCAAAGTGAGTGAAAACGTGTCCAAAAGGAATGATAAAGTGTCCAAAATCAGTAAAGGCTTCAACAAAGCGAGCCAAAAGGTGTCCAGAATCACTCAAATCGTCTCCATAATGAGTGAAAAGTGTCCAAAATGTGTGACAGCGTGTCCAAAATGAATGTAAAAAGTCTACACAATCACTCAAAACTGAACCAAAATGACTCATAAACTGTCCAAAATCTGTGAAAAAGAATCAAAAATAAATAAAAATGTGTCCAAAATCACTTCAAACTTGAGCAAACGGAAAAAATGTCCAAAATCACTCAAACCACAAAGAAATTGGCTCAAAACTTCGGAAAATGTGTCCAGCAGGAGACGTCTGACAGACTCAGTCACAGCAGCATCCTGTCAGTAAATAACATCGACCTGAACACTGAGAAGAGTTCATCTGAAAACCGCCTGAGCCTCCAAGAAACTATGCGAGCTTCTGTTCAGGCAGAGTTCTGGCAGATCAGAGCCGAATACCTTCTGTTTGGTTAAACATCACCTCAGGTCATGTTTCATCTGTTCAGCGTGTCAACAAGCCGCTCGACTGAAGACGCTGTTTCAACAAGTCACCAATCAAACGGAAAACAGAAACTTGACTTCATCTGCAGCGAGTCAGGGTTTCAACGTGGTGGTGGATCAGCTCAAGGTTGACTATAACGATGCAAAATGTGTCCAACGTGGCTCAGAAGTGGTCGCATTCACTTAAAATGCTCCCAAAATGTCTTAAAATATATCCCAAACGATACAGAATACAATGCAACTAAGCAGAATTTTTAAAAAATGACGATCAAAATCAAAAATGTGTTCAAAATGTTTCAAAATTTGTCAAAAAATTCTAAAAATGATCCAAAATATCTTTAAACTTGTCTAAAACGAAATAAAGAATGGTCAAACTAATTCAAAATTTGACAAAAATTACTCAAAATGTATCTAAAATTATGACAAAATGTAAAAAAAAAAAGACCACATTTTTGTCCAAAATGACTCAAAATGTGTCCAAGTTAACTCAGAACTCCAAAATGTGTGTACATGGACTCAAACGTTGTCCAAAATGATTTGTCTGTGGTAGAAATCATCCAAAATCAGTCCAAACTATTTCAAACTGTGTCCAAAATGACTGAAAATGTGTTCAAAATGATTCACCGATGATTAGTCCAAACTATGTCCAAAGCAACTCAACTGATGACTGTGAGGCGTTTGGGGAACATCAGTAAACTACAGCTTCAGAAAAACAACCTGTTACTCTGAGCTGCCGTTTGTGTTTCCACAGAAACCAGAAAAACTTCTCCAGACGTCACAGCAGACTGAAGTTCTTCTGTGTTCTCAGCAGAAACCCTGAGAACTGTCTCCAGCCGACAGCCGAGGATTGTGGGAAGTCCTGTGTTGTGTTTAGATGCGGCGGCGAGATTATCGCTGAGGAGGCGGAGCTTTGTCAATGGAGGCGCTAATGAATAATGAAAAACCTCTTCCTGTCTGAGAACACGGGTCGCCATGAAGAGACACACACACACACACACACACACACACAATCGGAGGGTTTCATCCCATCAAACTAAAAGTCACTACAACCGTCCTGCCGTCGTCTCTCACAGAGCAAAGAAATAATCAATTTATCAATCCATCCATTAGTCAACTGACAGATTAATTAGAACATTTGTTCAAAATGACTAAAAAAGACAAAAATGAGTCTGATTAGACAAAAACATTGTCAAAAAAGACAAAACGTGTCAGAAAAGATGAAGAATTTGTCAGGAACAAGTCAACATGTGTACAAAATGACTTAACTCGGGATCGATCAATGTGGTTTTTAAGAGCCAAAGTCGATATTGATTATTGGTAATTGAGAAAGGCCGATAACTGATATCTGGAAGTGATATCAAACAACTGTCAGTTATGAATAGGCTTGTTCATTACGAATGATAATTATAACTTAATATGTACAGTAGAGATAGGAGTGGTGATGTCAGAGCACTACGATGCGCTCCTCTTTGTTGTGACATCGATTGCTGGGATCAATAACAGTTCATCTCTTGCACTTCTGTTTTCCTATTCCTTTGTTTCCCACTAAGGTCCAGATCTTAAAACATTATTAACTGTTGTTTAATGTGTGGCTGCCTCCTGATGTCTCGTCTGTCTCTCTGTGTAAACAATAGCTGTCAGTGATTGGCTGTTGCTGGTGACATGCAACAGCCAATCAGATCGTCAATCCCTAACGTTCACTGCTCAGTGGACTGGAGTGTAAATAAAATACTCATGTAAAATACTCACTACTTAATACTTGTTTATAGCTGCGATAAAGTTCAGAATATTTTACCGCTGTGAACTTTAATATGTTTAACTGTTCATGTTCAAAGTTTCTGTTTTTTTATTCTTTTCAGTGAAATAAAACTCACTGAACCTGACCTGCGATGAAGTGTTCTGAATGAGTCCATCAAACCAGACCTTTGTGGGCCCTCCGTCCCCTCAGAACCGGCTCTGTTTGCTCTCCTGGTCTGTCAGCGCTGCATTAAGTCATCAGGCTCTTTGTAAACACTCCTGACCTTTGAGCTTCGACCTCTGACCTTTGACTCCTGAGGCCTCCACAGCAGACTGATGCTCTGATTTACTGCCGTCTCAGACTCTCTTTGTGCTTTTGTTACGGACTTGAAGCTGAAAAAGCTGTTTGATGAACTTTAAATGACTAAAAAACAGCAAACAGGCTGCTTGTGCACAGAGAGCAAAATAAACACGAGAGGAAACTTGTTTAGAACACACGAATATTTAGCAAAAACGCATCCAAAGTGACTTAAAATAGTCCAAAATGGATGAAGAATGGTCCAATTTTGTTTTTCTTTTAAAAAGAAGAAAAAACATGTTCAAAATTACTTTTCCAACACTCTTAAAAATTGCCATTATAACAAAAATCACATCTCAAAATACTTAATTTGCCCAAAACACGGCAAAAATTGTCCAAAATGACAAAAAATTGTCCAAATGAATCTGAAATGTGTCCAAAACTCTTAAAAATGTTATTTATTTAGCCCAAAACTAATAAAACTTTTGCAAAATTACTCAAAAAGCCCCCAAATGCCACAAAAACATGTACAAAAAGAGAAAGTTCTGATTCAAATACAGTTAAAAATGAGCAAATCTGTATGAATTAATCTAAAGCGTGTCTAAAATTATGAAACAGTTGTCAAAATTTGTTGTAAAATGGTCTGACACTAATAAAACTTGTGCAAAATTACTCTAATGTGTTCAAAATTACAATAGCTGCTCTCCACAGAGACAAAAACTCGTCCAAAACGACTCAAACTCACTAAAAGGACGACTGAGAGGAAACAGCAGCAGGGAGAAGATCAAAATCTGAAACCAGTTTGTGTTGAAGCGGCTTTGAATCACCTCGAGCTGAATCTCAGTTACCACAGAGCTTAAACACTTTTAAAGAGTTTTTGAAGTTCTTCACTCACCCATCACAGTCCTGGAAGTTGACGTTGAGCCTCTTTGTGGAGCCGAGCAGCTCTGAAAAACACCAAACACAGAGTTAAAGTCTGAAATCTGCTGCAGAATCGCAACCAGGACACAGTCAGAGCGACAACCGAGCCGAGGCTGATGGGTAGTGTAGTCCTCAGAGACAGGGTAGCTTCTGGACGAGGTTGCTTTAGACGATGAAAAGTGGTTTTGAATCGTAACACCTCTAAAAATCACAGTTTTAAAGCTGAAACAATTGGTGGATTCATGAAGCTTTTGATCTGTAAAACTCAGTGGCAGGTTTGAAAAGCTTTTCGTCTTTAAAAGTTCACTAAAATTAAACCATTTATTAAACCATTGAACCATTCTGTCTTGAAAACGTAAACAAATCTAAACCTAAACTTGTTTAACATTTTATTAAAGCCATTCTATAAGTCTCCTTCAAAATTTAGACAAACGTAAACTGATTCAAAGTTGTTAAAAATGATAAAAACCTGTCCGTAAATGACTCTGAACTTGTCCAAGATGACGCAAACTTTGACCCAGATTACACAAAACTCAAATATGACTTAAACCTTGTCAAACAGTTCCAAATCAGTCACACATGACTCAAGAATTGCCCAAAATGCCAAAAAACGTACAAATTGGCTCTAAATTTGTCCAAAATGACTCAAACATTGCCCAGAATGACTCTACATTTGTCCGAAATTACCCAAAATGTGTCCAGAACGACCCAAAACTTGTCCAAAATGAATCAAAATCAGTCAGACATGACTCCAGAATTGTGCAAAATGACAACAATCGTACAAATTGGCTCCAAAGTTGTCAAAAAATAATAGGAATGTGTCCAAAATTACCTAAACACTGCCCAAAATAGCACTAAGTATGTCCCAAATTGCACAAAATCTGTCCAAGATGACTAAAAAATGGAACAAAATTAAATTAAACAAAATAACTTGTCCATAAAGACTCAAACTTTGTCCAGAATGACAAAGCTAAATGTCCATCCATCCATCATCTATACACCGCTTAATCCTCACCAGGGTCATGGGGGGCTGGAGTCTATCCCAGCTGACTCAGGGTGAAGGCAGGAGACACCCTGGACAGGTCACCAGTCTATCACAGGGCTACACTTAGAGACAGACAACCAAGAACACTCACATTCACACCTACGGACAATTTAGAATCACCAATTAACCTCAACATGTTTTTGGACTGTGTGGGAGGAAGCCGGAGAACCCGGAGAGAACCCACGCTGCACGGGGAGAACATGCAAACTCCATGCAGAAAGATCCTGGGTGTCCTCACCGGGATGCAAACCGGCGACCTTCTAGCTGTGAGGCAACAATGCTAACCACCGAGCTACCTTGCAGCCCAAAGCTAAACGTAACACTGGTAAATAACATGGACGGTTCCTGTGTGAATCTGATCAGTTTGTGCTGTGAGGTTTCTGTCAGCCTCACTGTGTTTGTTATGAGACCTTCTGCAGGTTGTTCAGGTTTGAAAGGAAACAGCTGCTGACAGGAAGTGAAGCAGCAATCAGCTGATCATCACACCGCAAGGAGGGAAAACAGTCAAATCACAGAGGATTTAATGAAAGTCAGATAAAAGCACAGCTGCCTTCGCCCTGCTGAACTGACCCTGAACCAGAACACAGTCGGTTCTGTTGTGTGCAGAGTCACAGGACGCCGTGGAAACCAGGCTAACCTTCACTAACTAACTAACTGCTGACACAGATTCACTCTGCAGATCTCATGACTCTGTTCAAAATCGATCACTGATTCTGGAGTCAGTGAAAAGACGTCCTGTGTTCGTGGTTTTAATTTCAAACTGGTTCTCGAGGACCTCCATGGTTCTACAAACTGATTTTAAAAATGTGTGAAAACATCTTACTCACAGATCTAATAAGACGACAAAACTGACCTTTACTATTGTTTTTATAACAAAAAAAAGACGCGCCTGTGGAAAACTAAAACCTGAATGCTGTCGTGACTCGATAATCTGACCCTTAACAATCTGAAAACCTCGCTATCCGACAGGTTTTTAGGAAAAACAAACGGAACCCATAACAAATCTTTAAAATTGACTAAAATGACAAAACATTTGTCCAAAATTGCAAAAAAAAATGACTCAAAATGTGTCTTAATTTATTTAAATGTGTCTCAAATGCCCATAAATTTATCAAAAATTACTCAAAACTTGTTCAAAATAATTCAAACTTTGTCCAAAATAACTCTAATAAATCTAAATACTGGTGTCTACAGACATTTCTGAGTTCTCTCTTCTCCTTGGTGGTTGTTGTTTCCACTGAGGTGCAGGACTTTATGTTGCAGTGAAAAATGAGCCACAGTGAGTAAAAATGAGACAGGAGTAAAATGTTCAGGGTGTCAGAGGGTTAAAGTAGAAATGAATTCACCTCATTTCTGTTCCAAACTCAGAAGCAGGTTCCCTGTTGTGATATTTTTACACTCAGTGATGCCGTTTCATAAACTCACTCTGAGGAGAAGCTTCACTTTGTTGTTTTTAACTGCGTCATCATTTTGAAAAAGACTTCTGAGAATAGGAATCAGGTCAGCGGAGGTTTGACAGGTTTTCTCTCAGAGGTTAATATTTGGTCAGCAGAGCCTTCACACCAGACAGTGACCTCTTTAAAGATGGCCGCCAGCTGCAGGGAGTCTGTTTGAAGTTCTGAGGGTTTGGGCTGCTCCTCAGGGAAACACAGTGAGGCTTTGATAATGACCTGGATTCTATAATTAATGGGAATAAATCAGCAGCAGTGAAAACACAAACAGAGCTGTTAAATCTCACATAGACGCTGAACACAAGAGCAGAACTCTGGATCAGAACTGAAGCTTGTCGGTGTTAATTCGGGTCAGACAGCTGATCCAGTCCTTCAACACATCTGATCCGACACTTACAGGACAGAAATACTGATTAACCCTCTGAGCTCCAGCAGTGTCTGGACATATTCCTTCACTGTGGGCTCGTTTTTCACTGCAAAGTCTTCATAGGGGACTTTATATTTGTACATATTACTAAAACCTCATCTGAAATGACTCTAAATTTGTCCAATGTTAATTAAAACTTCTCCAAAATGAAAAAACTGTCAAATACAACTCATATCTTGTTCAAAATAACTCACAAATTTAATTTAAAATTGTACAAAATGAAAAAAAAACATTCAAAATTGGCTCCAAATTTGTCCAAAATGATTGAAAAAAAAAAAAAAAACACTGAAACAACTCAAATTTTATCCATAATGTTTTAAAAGTCATCCAGAATCGCTAAAATATGTCAAAAATGTATCAGAATTTGTTCAAAATAACAACAACTTGTCAAAAATAACATAAATTAATAAATTACATTATATTCTACACTTTGGAGGCAAACTATGGGAAAAAATGGTCAAAATACACAAATTTGTACAAAAGGACTGACAGTTTTTTAAAAATAAAAAAAAGTCTTAGAAATCAACTAGAAAGAACTCGAAAATGGTTCAAATTTGTCACAAAAATTTGTCCACAACGACTCAAACGTTGTCCAAATTGACAAAAACTTCAAAATATAGTGATGACTCGATAATCCGACCCTTAACAATCCAAAACCTTGCTATCCGACAGGTTATTAAGAAAAATAAATTGAACCCATACAAAATAACCTTAACATACCGACAGCCTTGGATTCTGACTCCAACATGACATTTTATGTCACAAATCCGGATAACGGCGTATTATCTGACTGAACAATCCCACAGATTGGCTACGTTCACACTGCAGGACTTAATGCTCAATTCAGATTTTTTTGTGAAATCCGATTTTCTTGTGAGTTCGTTCACGTTTCCAGTTAAATGCGACTTATATGTGATCTGCTGTGTGAACTTCATACGACCCAAAAGTGTCCCGCATGTGCAGAAGAGGACACGACGACGTCACACACAGCAAGCGTGCTCAGTGTTTAAGTAGTAGGAAGTAAACATGGATGGTGGAAACAGAACTGTGACCGCGAACTAAACTAGCATCAACAGCCAAGTACTGCCTCTTCCACCCCATCGGAGCGCTCCCCAGGGGTGGAAGTGGCCCCCCAGCCGCGCAGAATATTTGGATATTCATCATTAATTGGGCCTGAATATCCAGAGACCAGAAAGTGCTACTGGACCAGCCCTGCTAGTTATTATGACAATGAATATGAACAACAAATGAGCCTTCCAGCATCAAGCCCTCCTTGTATCTCGACCTCCATCTTGACAATCCAACAGCCTTGCTATCCGACATAAAAGAAGGTTTTACATTTAGTGTCAGATTATCGAGTCACGACTGCGGCTCCAAATTTGTTCAAATTTGTTGAAATATGTCCACAATGAAAGTAACGTCACAAAAGTTGTCCAGAACTGGTTGAAATCTTTCCAAAATAAATCTGAATTTATCCAAATGTTTCCTCACTGTGGGCTCACTTTTCACTCCAATATAGAGTCTTTTATCTCTGTCAATATTTTGTCAATAAATTGTCCACACATCAGATTCTACTGAAGTTAGAGGAATTAAAAGTTGGTGAAATGTCGACCATAGACTGTATTTTTGGAAGGAAACATGATTACATCCAAACATATACACGCCTAGAGGACCTTTGTGGGGACCCAGTTCCACCCTGGTTTGAAAATGTTGGCCTTTATTCCATTTTTAAGGGCCAATACTTCAAAATGTTGCCACTGCTGGATCCATTCAGTCATGATGATCTGCTGGAAACTAGTCTGTCGCTGTGTTCACCAAGTGTCATGGCTGTGGGAGTTTCATTTCTAGAGATATCAAACCCTGAAAACGGCTTCACGTATTTTTTTATTTTATTTTTTTTAATTAAGTGAAAATACAAAGTTTTCCAAGTTTGAAAACAAGCAAAATTCTTACAATTCTGCTGAAGTGTTTCGTAGAATTAGCTTTTGTGTCTTAAATAAGTCATCTGTGAACAAAATCTGAGACAGTGCAGCTGCATGTGTCCAGACGGAGCCCCCGTCCCTCCAAAGAGACTCAAAGCTCAGCAGCACTTTGTTTTTTCTG